AGTTTTACCCTATAAGCGCAAAATATTCCTATATATATTATATAAATATTGTTAAAAAATTAAAATAATATTATAATATTTCGAGAATATTATGTAATATTTTTAATATTATGGCTCTTATGGGATAATTACATACATTACTTTATAAATTAAAGCTTTATTGCAAAGAAAGAAAAAGAAACATCGATGTTATACAGTCGATACTTCTCTATCATCGATAGCATGTTTCGAGATTACCTTTGATGTTAAATATTGAAGTCATTCTTTTTAATGCACATCCTTATCCACAAGATTGATTCATTTTTTTCCATATTGATTGTATAAAATCTCTAATACATTATCATTATATTTTATATTTTTATAAGAGGAGCGTAACGATAACCGTATAACAGTAAAATATGTATACTGATGGCGGCTTACGTGGCTAGCGCGCATGCGTAAATTTATTCCGAATCTTGCAACACTCGTAGTCCGCGCATTTATTTACTGAATTGTAATATTGCAACAACATGTTGCAATATTTTCTACAAAATTAACATTATAATATTTTGCGATATTGTTGCAATATTTCCAATAAAATATTATAATTTTAATATTGCTACAATTTTTGTCGTATTGCATACTATTGAAATATTGCTGCAATATCGCTGCGTGCTGAAGGGGTAAGTACGCGATCCTGTCACGAGAGAAATACGCTACTCGTAAGAAGAAAACTTTCAACAGTTCTTTAAGAAAAAATCGAGTTAGCGTATCTCCAGGAGATTCTCAAACTTTTTTTAGATGTGCTTTCTAGGCCTTTGAATTTTTTTTATTATGACTTTATTATACGTAATTTAGAATGTAATACTGAGCAATAAGATTTTAGTAATTAATAAAACTATGTTAATTATTATAATATATCATAATGTTGCAATAATGCCAAAATATTGTAGAAATATTCCTACAATAAATTTTTACGGACATTTATTATTGTAGCAATATTTATACAATAGTATTGGTATATTATTATGTAATATTATTGTAATATTACTACAGTATATAGAAATACTATCGCAATATTGCAAAATATTAGTATAATATGTTGAAATATTATCTAATATTATAGTAATATTATAGTAATATTACAAATATATCACAAAAATATTTCAGCGATGAATTTGTCGTGGACATTTAATATTGCAACAATATTCATATAATATTACTGACATATTACCGTGCAATATTACAGTAAATTTGTAATATTACTGCAAGATTACTGCAATATTACATTTTGTGTGGTAGAGAGTCTAAAATGGAGTTAATATAATGACAAGAAAGTTTTTACACAAGTAAATATATATAATACTAATAAAATAGACTTAAACTGATAAAAAAGCCACACTGTACATTTCAATACAAACGTTTATGTATATTTAAATGACATATAGATTTAACATGTATTCTTTACAACACAAGAAATAAAAAATATTTTTTACCATATTAGTTATAACAAATTTTAATAACATAAATGACGTTGTAACAAGCATCAAAAGTATTGCAATAATGTAAAATAAATTAAAACATTCTATAGAATTTGCTGGTTATTCTTTAGGAGGTTCTTGCTACTTTCTAATCAATAGACAGCTTAAATACTTAAAATATATAAGGATCGATTAAAACAGTACTATAGAGATATTACACAGCAACATTATATTATACGTATATAATTACATTAACTAATTCGTTAATGTAATTACATATAATTATTTTTAATTTTACATGTTATTAAATATTTTAAATTAAAAAAAATACAAGTTATAAGACATTTATTTAATAATAAATTTGATTTAATAATGATTGAGTCATTACGTTTGAAATTGTATATCTTTAAGTTATTATTATGCACATTTTGTTTTCATAATAATGTATACGGCAAAATATGCAAATAATGAAAACGTTGTAACACTTTAAATATATGATATAAATTTGAAAGCTGCTATTAATAAATTTAAAATGAATTTTTCTATAAGTATTATGCGTAATCATACACATATGCGCTCACTTGACAAGTATTCTTGCTACTCTTTATCGAAAAAAAGGTATTAACTTTTTGTCTAATTGTGTGCTTAATTTAAAAGAAATATTATCAGAATAAACTTAAGTTTACTTTGTCATTACAACGTTTTTGAAATTTCTATTTTATATACAATATCTCAAATTAAGAAAAAAATATTTATGATATAAAGTTTTGCGTATGAATAATGTAAAATTCCATTCATTTAGAATTAGATAGCTTCCAAACGGTACGATAAAAATGAAATGTTTTCTAGACATTATTAGTATAATTAATCTTTGTAGTACATATATGTTACGGACTTTATATTTTATATTTTATTAAATGTAAGAACCTCCTTAAATGAAATATAAATTTTGATTGGCATTATTAAAAATGCATATAGCCAAGAGTCTCGAATAGCATCAATTTTATTTTAAAGCAAATACTAAATTGTACTATATCTTATACATGTACACATAGATACTGAATATGTTTGTTGCTTGTATTGCACGTTAACTAAAATGTGATCGCAAAAGTTTTTAGCATTTCCTTTCTTTCTTTCTCTTTTCCTATCTGTGCATAAAGATATTTACAAAGAAAAGAAAACTCACTGCCAAAATGTTATTAGTATTTAATTCATATTGTCGGTTGTCAGTGCCAGAGTAGTAAGTACTGATCTACGATTTGGATTCACCCCCAAATTTTCCCAATTTATCCAGGATAAGCGTGCCGTCAGATCTGCAATAATGGGTATAATATTTAGTGTCTTAAAAAGTTGTAATATTAAATATTTTACAACTTAGATGATATTCATACATATTGATATTTATGATTAATTTTATAATATAAATATGTAATAATTTGTTCTAGGGATGCATCAGATATCCGAACAGTGTCCGGTATTCGGTATTACTTTTTTACTATCTGACCGGAAACCGTCGGATATCATTAATATTCGAGAATATATCCAGTTGAAATTTTATATCATTAAATTGTTAATTTTTTATTATATAAATATTCTATAAATAAGTTATCATCTTTATTGATAATCACATCATCGGACGATAACATTAAAATTGTAATTATTATCACTATTTTTTCGTTACAGTCCCTTTTCTTTTTTGATCAGCTTTTTTTTTAGACATTGTTCCGGAATCCGGAAAAAATCGGATGTCCCACTCGAAGAATTATCTTCTCGGATATCCGATGTTATTCTTTTTAGATATTCACGGATAATTTCATGATCCGGTGCATTCCTAATTTGTTCTAAATTAAATATTTGAGAGAGCTGTGTATTGCCAATCTATATGATTTGAATAAAATATTAAAACTACGTTTATATCTTAATGAAATATTGTAGTATGGAACATATGACAGTTAATCAAGAGATGCATCTTCATCAAACGAAAACATGATAAGTGGTATATTGATCGCGTTCAGCAGACTCAACTGTTGCGGACCATGAGCGCTCGCTGCTGGTGTATTCTTTCAAATCATCTAATATTAATAGAGAACGCTCACGGATCTGCTCCGTAACAGTTAATGGCGCGATCCCATGGTGTAGAACGTATACAATGCGAAATTGGAATAATGTCCGTCCAATCGCAAGCGTTCCGTCAATTGCGCTCCGCCAATATATTTTCTCATGTCCTATGGAGCTGAAAGCGTAATTGGCGTGTGTCCAATCACAAGAGATCTTACCCATAAACCTGTTCTGTTATATCTATGGGAATAGATATATTATCGGCTCACATAAATTATGCTTCTGCGTTTTTTCGCACTATGGGACATAAAGAAATAAACTCATGCGGATCGGAATCACACATACGTGTATATATATTCATCAAAATTTAAGAAATTCAATCCAAAACTTTACAAATCTTATTTGATTAACCGTATTTTAAATAAAGCAGTTATTAATATTTAAAGAGTTCAGCTCAAACAGCCGGAGCGAGCAGACGTGTTTGTTTACTTTGCCTCGCTGTGCTACGTCTCTTCGCTGTACAGCTAACTATTGTAATAGACGCGAGAACGTGTGCTAAATATAAACTCAAGAGAGTAACTAAATAATTAAATATATATGGCCTATGGCCTTAAACGAAATCAGATTTTCTTCGGTTAGAAGAAATTCAAGTGAATCTGCAGATCAGCAATGGCAATCATCCGCCAAAAAAAAAACGAATAATAAGCAGTCCTGGGGAAACCTCGGTCAAAAAACGTCAAACATACATCAAGGACTATTGGTTAAATAAAACAATAATCTCTGAAAATCCGTTCAATCTACTAGCCACAGATGAAGATACAGAAGATAATACTCAGAAAGTACATGTAGAGAAAATCTCCAAATCACCTCCAATATTTGTCAGTGGAGTCGAGGACATAGGACCGCTTACGAAATTGCTAGATGAAATTGACGGCAAAAACTACAGCCTTAAAATTCTGGCCAATAACCAAGTAAAAATTTTGCCTAGCATGTCAGAAAAATATCTACCAATCATTGAAGGATTGAAAAAGAAAAAGACAGAATTTTACACCTATCAAAGAAAGCAGGATAAATCTTATAAAGCGGTTTTAAGAAACATGCACCCATCAACGGATCTTGAAGACTTAAAAGCTGCCATCGAAGAATATGAACATAAAGTAATTAGAATTACAAATATACGAGAAAGAACCACACAAAAATCTCTACCACTATTCATAATAGAGATTGAACCTAAAGATAATAATAAATCTATTTTTAACATCGATAAGCTACTGAATATAATCGTCAGCTTCGAACCACTTCGCAAAAAAAGGGAGATTCCTCAATGCCAGAAATGCCAGGGTTACGGTCATACAAAAAACTACTGTTTTAAAAGTCCGGTATGTGTAAAATGCGCAATGAATCATCTTACACCTGATTGCCCAACAAAAGGAAAAATTAAAGAAGTCAAATGTGCTAACTGCGACGGTAATCATCCAGCTAGTTACAAAGGCTGTTTAGTGCGTAAGCAACTACAACAAAAATTATATCCAACGTTAAGAAAAAAATCTGCAAATCAACAAACCCAGAACCAACTACAAAGCCTTAACCGCTTCGTTAAACCAAACATAACGTACGCGCACACTGTGAGATCCGACCATAAACAATATACAACAAATACTACCCAGCCTCAAATAGAAACACAAACGACAACAAACACATCAGTAACAGCAACAAGTAAACTCGAACAAATGATGACTCAGCTCATGAGCCGAATGGACACAATGCTAAATTTACTTACAAGCTTAATAAACAAAATTCAATAAGGAAAATCGTGAAATAAATATAGCAATCTGGAATGCAAATGGCTTAGCTCAGAGAATATTGGAAGTTAAGAAGTTCTTAATTGACCAAAAAATTGATATTATGCTGATTTCAGAAACACACTTTACAAATAAAAACTATATAAAAATTCCAAACTACACCATTTACGATACCATGCATCCAAGCGGAAGAGCGCAAGGTGGGACAGCTGTTATTATAAAAACAGCTATTAAACACCATTTAACTGGAATAAATGAAGACGAATTTATACAAGCTACCAATGTAACCTTGAATGATCAGCAAGGATCCTTTATAGTCTCAGCTGTATATTGCCCACCTAAACACTCAATAAAAACTGAGTTGTTTCAAAAATTCTTTAAAAGTCTGGGCCGCCGCTTTATCGCTGCCGGAGATTTCAACGCCAAACACCCGTGGTGGGGGTCTCGTTCCTTGACACCTACCCCACGAGGCCGTCAATTATATGCAACACTACTGGCAGAAAACTTAACTCCAATTTCAACCGGAGAGCCCACCTACTGGCCCTCAGATTTAAAGAAGTCCCCCGATCTGCTTGATTTTGCAATCATAAAAAGTATTGATCCAAAATGTCTTACTGCTAAGTCATGTCTGGACCTTTCATCAGATCATTCACCGGTTATTATCACGTTTACTCGACAAATTACTATGGCACAAAAAATACAACACCTATATAATGGGAAAACCAATTGGACAAAATACAAGCTATATTTGGATAAAAATCTAAATTGCAATATTCCACTTAAGAATCCCACAGAACTAGAAAACGCAATTGAAGGATTCAACATATTAATTCACAAGGCGGTCAATGAAGCTACTCCAACAGTCGCTCTTTTAAAAAAATCTCAAAACATATCCAAAAATATTCAAGCAAAAATTCAAGAAAAAAGGAAAATACGGAAAACATGGCAAATCACGCGAACTAAATCAAACAAAACAAAACTCAACAAAATAACAAAAGAACTTAAATCTCTACTTATTACAGAGAAAAACAAGTCCATTCAAAATTATCTCAAACAGTTAACTGCTACGGAAGCAACAAACTATTCTTTATATAAAGCTACAAAAAGACTGAAACAACCTCAGCTACATATTCCACCAATCAAAAAGAATAACGAGAAATGGGCAAGAAGCGAATCTGAAAAAGCTTATGCCTTTGCTGAACATCTGCATGAAGTGTTCCAGCCAGCAGCCCAAGAAATAACCGATCAAGAGGAAAAGGAACTAATTTGTCTCGAAGAAATCCCTGTCCAAAAAGAATTACCAACAATAAAAGTCAAAAATAAAGAAGTGCTACAAATTTTAAAGTCTCTCCAGAATAAAAAATCTCCAGGCTATGACAACATTAGTGGTAAATTAATCAAGGAATTATCCCCTAAAGGTATCCGATTTCTCGCTATATTAATAAATGCTGTTTTTCGCTTGTGCCACTTCCCCAGTCAGTGGAAAGTGGCGCAAATAATATTAATTGGAAAACCGGGTAAAAACCCGGATCTTCCTACATCATATAGACCAATAAGCTTACTGCCTGTCATGTCTAAGATTTGTGAAAAACTCTTGCTGAACAAAATAAATCCAATTGTTTTATCCAAAAAACTAATCCCGGATCACCAATTCGGTTTCCGTAACCATCATGCAACAATCGAGCAAGTCCACCGACTAACTAGTAAAATCAAAGAGGCCTTCGAAAAGAAAGAATACTGTACCGGTGCCTTTCTAGATGTGGCACAGACTTTCGACAAGGTGTGGCATAAAGGTTTGCTATATAAATTAAATAGAATGTTTCCAAATAATATTTATCAATTATTGTACTCATATCTAACTAATAGATCCTTCCAAGTTAAAATAAACCAAACTGTCACAAAACTTTATCCAATTAATGCCGGAATCCCCCAAGGTAGCGTCTTGGGTCCGACCTTATACCTACTTTATACAGCTGATCTACCAACTATGCAGGAGATCACTACAGCAACATATGCTGATGATACTGCGGTACTCGTAAGCCATCCCAGACCCGAAGTGGCAGCTGAAGTCTTGCAAAAATATCTTGATGTTGCAAGTGCGTGGTTTAAGCAATGGAGAATTAAAATTAACGAGACAAAGTCAACTCATGTAACTTTCACACTCCGGAAAACATCGTGTCCCTCAATATACCTCAATAAAACAAAAATACCGCAAAGAAATGATGTTAAATACCTGGGGATGCACATTGATCGTCGGCTGACTTGGAGCACCCATATCTGGACCAAACGCAAACAGCTAAATTTGAAATTGAGACAAATGTACTGGTTACTGGGAAACCAATCAAAGTTAACGATTGAAAACAAAATACTTATCTACAAAAGCATTCTTAAACCTGTATGGACATATGGAATACAACTTTGGGGATCAGCTTCACACTCTACCATTGATATTT